GCTTTGCCACTGTAGCAAACGCCAATGACCTGGCGGCCTCCGTGGCCTCCGAGGCCCTCGGCAGACAGAGTTAGAGCAAAGGAGAAGGAGAGGACACTGGAGCCAGCCACCCAACCACACAGCCACTCAAAAGGCAGAGGTGGGGTGCTCACCCATGAGTCGGTGAGACCATCAGCTAGGAGCCACTGCCCTGCTGAACCTGAACCTGAAACTGGATTCCTTGAACAAATTTCCTGGGTCTCAGGGTGTGGCCTCTCCCATCTCTCCCACTGGCTGCTCTTGGGACAGAAGTCACCACCATCAGCTTCCTGGGGGGGCCTTTTGGGTCCCTCTTTCTACCCCAGGACTGCCTGCTTGGATGGTGACCCACTGGGACATGGGAGTCCCCCGCACAGCGGTACAGCCTCTGAGCACAGCCGGCAATGTGAGTCCGCTGTACACCGGTACAGCCTCTGAGCACAGCCGGCAATGTGAGTCCGCTGTACACCGGTACAGCTTCTGAGCATAGCCGGCAATGTGAGTCCGCTGCACAGCGGTGCAGCCTCTGAGCATAGCCGGCAATGTGAGTCCGCTGCACAGCGGTGCAGCCTCTGAGCACAGCCGGCAACCACCAAGCCTCCCATTACAGAGCACTTTGTTACGCGGCCATGACCGCGGAGGTGGCACCAGCCTGCCTGTCTGGCCAGCCAGAGCATTAGCATAAATGGTTCTGTGCGCAGTGAGGAAACAGGAGATCCCGCAGCTGAGGGGAAAGAGCGGGAAGCGGTTCCCAGGCGTGGGAAAACTTAGATTATCCTGATCAGGCTGGGGCATGGGGAGGGAGGACTAAGACCCCATCAAGACCTAGAAAGCAGTCCCCTCAGAATGTGACCACTGGGAAACAGCCTCCCTGCCGACGGAGCTACCATGTTAAACTGGGACAAAGGCATAGAGACTAGGGAGGCCACCCCCGTGTGCTGGCGTTGCTGTGGGCAGGGAGACTTGGATGCTCCTGGAAGAGAGGCGGAGTGAAGGGTCCCATCGGAAGGCGGGGCTTGGGGAAATGTTTCTACAAGCTGAGGAACATCAAAGGCAGTTGGCCATGAGGCTCAGACAGCTCGTCCCTCATCGAGTCAGAGGAATCGCTTGCCCCTTGACCTTGTACCTCTCTCTCCCAGATAGAATGCGTGGCTGCGGCTCAAACCACCCTAACTCAGTGCTTGGCCGCGGTGGTCCAAGGACATGAGCACAGCAAACACGGGAAGCCGGCGGTGGAATTCTAAAGCGGTGTTGTTTAGACTTGCACACTGGCCCACCCCTATCTGATGACACAGGTTTCAGTGACAGACGGGGACACCGAGGCATCGATGTCGGGAGAGATTTCATTTCATGACGGGGCTGGGCCAGGTTCCTCCCTTCCTTGTTCCTCCCTTCCTTTCCCTCCCCACCTCAAGTCCCCTCCTACCTTTCCTTCATCGGCCCAGAAGGACTGCTCCCCACCTTCTGGGTCAAGTGCAGAGCCCAGCAACCCAAACTGACGGGGAGACCCCCGACCCTGCAGTGGTCGGGGAGCCCAGACAATCAGCACAGGGCAGCAGCCACGGGGATAACTGACGGACAGGTGGGTGAGGGGCCTCGCGGGGCGTGAGCGGAGTGGGCTGGAGAACTGGAGCTCACAGACACGCCCAAGGGCCAGCGGCTGGGGATCAGGATGGCAGTAGCCGGCTGTCCTTGCTGTCTACCATGGGGACCGCAGGCAGACAAAGCCCTGCCATGAGGCCAAGCACTGCGCCCAGCCCCTGCCGTACTGAATGCCCAAGGACCTGCCATTCAGGTTTTCATGACAGAAGACAGGGCGCATTATCAACAGCTTGCTTCCCATGAAAACGAGGAACCATTTGCTGAATCCCCATCCCACTAAGCCTAGCCTGGAGCCCTCAATACCCTGGGAATCCACTCAGGCCGCAAATGGAGCCTTTCTCCTGCCCACAAAGGCCCACACTCACCGGGAAGCCCTTTTCATCTCTCTGAGAGAAATGGCAGCTTGACACAATGGAAAGTGGGTCCCATTGTCCCTTGCTTTTCCCTGACAGGCTGGAGCTGTGGTCCCCGTGCTCGCCCGCCCGGCTCTGCCCGCCACAGTCACCCTGCTCTTTCCAGGAGTGTGAAACACCCTCTGCAGCCCCAGGGGCGGGCAACTGCTGGACCACCTGCTGCCAGTCTGGGCTGGGGCGGGGCTCTAGGCTCCTGGCCAAAGAGGATGAGTTCTGCTGTGGCTTGGGTATGGTTGCTCCCAGCATTCATTTACCGGGAGTGTGGTCCCCAGTGTGGAGAGTTGGGAGGTGACAGGATCTGTAAGAAGCGTGCCCAGTATTTGTATTTGCATTTGTATTTGTATTATTTGTATTTGTATTTGTATTTGTATTTGTATTTGTATGACCGGTATCCTCGGAAGGGAGCAGTTAGGTTCCCTGGGGCCCCTGAGAGTTCTAGAGAAAGGGCTGCTTTGACACAGGTGTGCTCTGTCCTCCCTCTCCTCCCCCTTCCCCTGCCCTACCCCGCCCTTCCTCCCCCGTCCTCCCTTCACTCCCGCTGTCTCACCACGTCGTGTCTCCTGCTTGCACACACAGTGACAAGCCATCCTTGGGCCGCAAGGTCCCCGTCAGAGTTTGAGAAGATGCCAGCCTCATGTCTCTGAGGCCGCAGAGCTGTAAGCTACTCCCTTGTGTTCATAGAGACGCCCGGCCCTGGGCATTTTGTTATAGGAACAGAAAGCCAACCAATACGAGACGCTGCCTGGGAGCTGCCGTGTGAGGCCCGTGCTGGGTGCCGTCCCTTCTCAGACATCCCTGCTGGCCCTGGACAAAAGCCTCCGTCTCAGTACTTGCTCTCCTCGGCACCCTCATTAACCACGGGGAGATGCAGGACCCGGAGGGACAGCCCGCGTCCTTGGAGCCTCCTGGGAGCTGCTTGGACTTGATGCAAAGGTTGAGAGGTCAGGCAAGGTTATGGACGTTCTGGGGGTCGGGCGAGTCCGGGCTTCCAAGATGACACAAGCCTTCTAACTCTGTGGCTTCAGGGAAGTGGACTCTTGGAACCTCTGCTTCCTCCTTCAAAAGCAGGCGCAGGACCTGTCTGTCTTTGGGCCAACTCTATATTCTGGAAGCATCTGGAAATGGCTGGGGAGTGAAAGAAGGAAAGAAGGAGAGAGAGAGAGAGAGAGGGGAGAGGGGCAACAGGAGGGTGAAGGAAGAGGACCTTCCCTGTCCGTCTCCTGCTGCCCTTTGAGAGGAAAGGACAGAAGGACAGGACAGGAGGAAGTGTGGACCGGGAAATGACTGGACAGAGGGCCTTGCTGAGGATGCTAACACACCACTTGCATGGATAAATGAATTTGGGTAATTGCTATTCAGGAATTGCACACAACCTGCAGGACCAGGGATGAAACAAACCCCCAAGGAGCCCCCTTCGGCTGAGGTCAGCACACTGAGTGTCCAGCTGAATAGCCAGGAACCCAGTCACTGGCTTGTGCAATTATTTGTCTGCCTGATGCAGGACCCCTGGAATTAGCTTACTGCCAGCCAACAGGGCAGGGTGGGGTGGTGCTATGCACTCTAGGGGCTGGGACAAAGGGCTGATGCAGTTCTTCAGGACCTTGGCCAGTTCTTGAGAAAGGGCTGTTGTGAAGGAGCAAACCTCGGTTGAGGAAATGGAGGCCCAGCCCCTAACTTGTCTCAGGCATCTCTATAAGAACAAGGGATTCTGACCTGGCTTATGGCCCAGACCCAGACAATGGCCCAAGAAAATCCACTGTGAGCAGATACACTCTGCCTCTCGTGTCCAGGGTACCTCACCTCCTCAGGGTACCTCACCTCCTCAGGGTACCTCATCTCCTCAGGGTACCTCACCTCCTCAGGGTACCCCATCTCCTCAGGGTACCCCATCCCCTCAGGGTACCCCATCCCCTCAGGGTACCCCATCTCCTTCTGTCTCCCCATTCTCCTGATGATCCAGAGAAGATATAAGAGAGTACAGGTACTTTGGCCTTTCCTAGAAGACAGGCACATCCTGGGATTGGTGGGGTGGTGCCTTTGACCTTCCTTTAGAGGGTCTACGCCTCTGCTGGCTGCAGAGACACCAGAATATTCTATGGAGTCACTTAGCAAAGGATGTGCCACAGAGTCAACTTAGGTCTGCCAACTAGAAGAGAGAAAACAGCGCAGAGTTAGATGAGCCCAGGGCCTCCTACAGTATGGGAGGGGTCGTTCAGAGGACAGCAACAAAGGGCCCCCAACGCCGCCGTGTAGACCTGGGCTCTTCCTCTCCCTTTCACAGAGGAAGCCTGGAGCACCTGCCTCCCTCTGTATCGGAAGGAAGGAAGGAAGGAAGGAAGGAAGGAAGGAAGGAAGGAAATGTCTTCACACAATATTGGTTGGCTTGCACAAGCCTTGTGCTGCGAGGACTGAAGGGTGTCTTCCGATGACATTCCTTCTCTCCCATCTGTGTCTCCATCCACTCAGCAAACCCAGAGAACACGAGCACCTCGGTTCCCCAAGTACCTGGAATTTAAGGGATTTGATGACTTTTGCTGTTGCTTTGGCTTGGTTTTGGCTTTGCTTGCTCTTTTGTTTGATTCTCCAACACTAATGCGGAAACCGGCAGGGACTGGCTCTGAGAGTCACTTTGTTCTGCACTCACGGAGGCCGCGGTCCAGTATAAAAAGGAGTCTGAGTTTCTCGGTGCGGTAATGAACATGCAGTTCCCCCAGGCGGGCCGGAGGGACAGGCAGACAGACAGACAGACAGACATGCCAGGCTCTGCCTAATGCAGCAACGCCTCGTCTCCGTCCTCCCTGACTCCTCTTTCCCTGCCCTTGTCTATACTGGAAGGACCCTGGTGACCTTGCCAGGCGTGGTGTGTACACGGGAACACAGTGAAAACAGACACGGATACCAGACACACGTGGCACAAGTCCCCTGACTTAGCTAGGGTGACCAATGAAACTCCACGACCAAAGCAACTTGGAGAGGAAAGGGTTTATGTGGGCTCACACTTCCATACCACTGTCCATCGCTGAAGGAAGTCAGGACAGGAACTCAAACAGGGCAGGGACCTGGAGGCAGGAGCTGATGCAGAGGCTGTGGAGGGGCGTTGCTTACTGATTTGATCCTCGGCGCGGCTTCCTCAGCCAGCACACAGTGGCCCCACCCACAATGGGCGGGGCCCTCCTCCACCAATCGCTCCGTAGAAAAAATGCCTACAGCCGAATCTTAAGGAGGCATTTTCCTAATTGAGGCTCCCTCCTTTCAGATGACTTTAGTTTGTGCCAAGCTGACATAAAGTATCCAGTACATCTCCATTTGTTCTTTCTGCGCCGAGGCAGTGTTCTTCCTTCTGTGGGGCAAAGAGTTGGAGGAAATCTTGAGCGTGGGCCAGGGAGCCAGACTCCCGCTGCTCTATGTGTGACAGCCGCCTTGCCCGCCCACTCTGGACTTAACCCTTCCTAGACGAGAAATGGAGGACTTGGACCCTCGGAACTCCCCTGGTCCTCTGGGGTCCAGCACTCCAGGACACTTTGCCTGAAGCTTATCTCAAGCTTTATCAGGTAAGTGACAGCTGTCAGCCCAAGCAGAAGTTCCGGTGACAAAGCAGGAGGCACAGGACAGCGTGGGATGGCTCCTGGTGCAGACCAGCAAGACCGTGGGTGATGCGTAGGCCATTTCCTCTGAATTCCCTCACATTGGCCAACCCCATGCCCTCAGCCTCGTTCACACCAGGAATAAAGGAGGCATGGGCTCAGCTGGCCAGAGGAGCCAGTACCAAAGTGTGACAACTCCTCCTCCTCCTCCTCCTCCTCCTCCTCCTCCTCCTCCTCCTCCTCCTTCTCTCTCTCCCTCTCTCTCTCTTTCTCTTTCTCCCTATCACGCTTTCTTTCTGTTATTGTCATTTTTTGAGACAGGGTTTCACTGTTTAGCTCTGGATATCCTGAAACTCACTCTGTAGACCAGGCTGGCCTTGAATTCACAGAGATCTGCCTGCCTCTGCCTCCCAAGTGCTGGGATGAAAGGTGTGAGGTACCAGCCCACAGAACTTTCCTTATTTTTTAAAGCCATTCCAAGAAAGTAAAAATAAGGAACCCAACCTTTATTTCCTAGTTAGTGGTTAGTTTTTAACAGTAGAGAAAAATTAGTCCTCATTTTGTGGAATAGAAAAAAGCAAGTGTGCATCTGTTCCCTCTCATTGGTGTCCTTACTCAGCGCTAGGGCAGGCCAGCCAGCCTCCCGCTCTATGTGGGTGTGGCCTATGGCGTGTAACTGTGGCACAACTGAATCTTCTACAGTCTGTCTTTCGGCTAATTTTAGACACTGTGCAGTAGGTAGCACTGCACAGAAATACAACATGGCACACACTCTGCTTCCGGCTGTGACAGAGCAATAAGGTGCACTTACCGGCCCATCCTAGAAACACGGTTGGGAGCACATGACGGCGACACCGGTGCTTTGGGAGCCAGCCAGTTCCTGCGAGTGACTCCCAGGGAAGGGGAATGAAGAGGTGAGTCCCACGATTCCCTGGCTCACTGCCTCAGCATCAGCAGCCAGGGTGGGGAGGGGTCACTCCCCGGGCTGAGACAGTGCTTGAGTATTTTGGCAAGGCATACAGAAGGGGAAGCTGCTGAGAAATGGCCCAGACTCTGAACGAGGAGTCGTGGTGGGTGCAGACACTTGAAGAGGGGATGCAGGGCATACCGGTGCAGCTGAGGAGGACTACTATCTCCGTCCGAAGCCAAGGGAGTCGTGACCGGGTGAAGGACAGCTCAGCCCTGGGGCATGAGCCCCAACCCTGTGGAATGCAGATGCCACAGCCTGCAGTCCAAGAGCTCAGAGACCCATACCAGCAGAACGAGCCTGATTTGACGGCTGCTCTTGTCCCAACTGTCAGAGCTTACACACAAGCTGCAGAAAGAGCAATAAGGGAAAATAACTGCATCCCAGAACAGAATCCAGAAATAGTGCAAAGAGCACAAAAATAACCAGCAGCCAGCAACACAGGAATCGCTGTCTGGCATCCTGTTGAAAAATCACCAGACATGAAGAAACAGGAGCACACAGCTAAGATAAGAGGAGAAGTCAGTACACAGAAGGAGACCAGGAAACAGCACATAGCCATAGCTGTAGACAAATCCAGTCCACATGTTAAAGAAGGTGGTGAAAGCCAGAACATGCTAAGATCATGGAAGAAGTTTAAAAGGACTGTCACACAAATTCACCTGGTGAGAACTGCCCTTTCTGGGCTGGAAAATGGGCTGGGGACATGAGAGGCTATTAGGTACTGCGGGAGAAAAGGTGAGTGAATGTGAGTGTGCCAACACAGGATGGGAGAAAAGTGAGTGGTCCGTAGGAGGTAGACTCCCTTGGGAGTGGGGTGCAGGTTTGAAAACACAATGACTGAAAATTTCCCAGAAAGCTTGACAAGCCCCAAGAAAAGAATTGTACAGTCTGGCTACTCACAACCAGAGATGTGAGCGTATTAGTTACCTCTCTGTTGCTGTGACAAAATGCCATGGCCAGGACAACTTATTGTGGTGATATATTATCTATGATTTATTAAAGCTTACCTGAGGATTCAGAAAGCAAAGTCAGTCACAAGTCATAGAAGCCAGGCACACACCTTTAATCCCAGCAGCCAGAAGCTAGGAGGTGGTGGTACATGCCTTTAATTCTAGGACTCAGAATTAACAGGTAGATGGATCTCTGTGAGTCCAAGGCCACCCAGATCTACACAAGAGTGATCCAGTCCTAAAGAGAAACAGCTCACACAAAGATGACCTCAGCACCTGGGATCACACGCCTTTAACCCCAGCACTAGGGAGGTATGTAAGCTAGGAGAAAGGTCAGCATCAGGCATTCACTCTCCAGCCACACTGAAGACAGAAAGACATTGAAGTCTCAGAATTCTCCAGCCAAACTGAGGAGAGGCTTCAGCCTGAGGTTTGGTGGAGCCAGGATCACATTTCAGTCTGAGGTAGAGTGAGAGCTAGTGGCCACCTGCTTTGCTTTTCTTCAGCTTGAAGTTTGAACCCTGATATCTGTGTCTGGGTCTTTGATTAATCATGTTACAACTTACAGAAGCTTGTAGAAGGGTTTGTAGGCTGGGTAGTGGTGGTGTATGTCTTTAATCCCAGCATTTGGGAGGCAGAGGCTGGTGGATTGCTGAGTTCAAGGCCAGCCTAGTCTATAGAGTGATTTCCAGGACATGCAGGGCCACACAGAGAAACCCTATCTCAAAAAAACTTCATAGTGTTTAGAAGGGGATCTTAGGGTTTATATTGCTGTGAAGAGACAACATTACCATGGAAACTCTCATAAAGAAACATATTTCATGGGGTGACTCACAGTGTCAGAAGTTTATTCCGTTATCATCATGGCAGGAAGCATGGTGGTGTGCAAGCAGACTTACTTGTTGCTGGAGAAGGAGCTGAGAGTTCTACATCTTGATTCGTGAGCAACAGGAAGTGAACTGTCTGTTACACTGGGCATAGCTTGAGCATAAGAGTGTCGCACCTGCTGTGCGGCCTGCATCCGAGAATGTAGCAAGGTGGTCGGGATAGATGACACAGAGACCGGTCGGTTGCTTTAAGAAAACTTTATGCTTCCCAAGTCAGCTTAGGAGGAGATTTCAAGTCCGCTTAGGAGAGAGAAGTCTCAGGAGAAGTCTCAGGAGAAGTCTCTCTAAGAAAAAGGAGCTTCCCTTTTTAAGGACTTCTGCCATTCATCTACATACCATTCTTTCCTCCTGGCTGGTGGTCTAATCTCCGGGCCCCAGAATCGGGGAGACACCACAGGGAAACAGGAAGAGGCATCTAGCCGTAGGGGGTGTGAAAGGCCTGGTATTTCAGTGAGCAAGCCCTTATCTGAGCCCTAATCAAGAGCTTTAAAGCACTGAATTGTTTTTAGTAAACATTACACAGATGCCTGCTCCCAGGCATGGTCACTTGAAATATCAGACTTGGTAGTTCCTGTTTCTGGAATCAGTGTGTTCTTCTGGAGAAATGTGGTTTGTCCTGGTGCGACAAAAAGACTTTGACTCGGGTTACATGTTCGGCTGATACTACTGACATTAAATCTACAGACTACATCACCACAGGAACAAATTGGTACTCTGTAAATAGTGCAACAAGCCTCTTGTTCATATTTTTTATAATGCTACATGTGTAACATCAATGATTGTACCTAATGTATCTGTGCAAGTGCACTCTCTAATGCTTTCCTAAGTAGATCTTAAAATGATTGTAAACTTTATCACTGTTTTAACCTTCAAATTGTAACTATAAATCACCCTTGTAGCAAAGAAAGGCTGGTGGTAGAATGCTAAGGCCCAGATCAGGGGATGGGCAGGTGACAGAGAGGCGCTATGTCAGTGGGGGTCCTAGGAATGGTAACAGTGGCAGTAGGCATTCTGGCTTCATGCTGAGTTCAAAGTGCCTTAGCCCATGGCAATCCCGATAGCCATAAAGCCTTATTACAAATAATTTTAAGGGTGGGGCTACTTCAAAGACAGGCAACCTGTGGGGAAGACCCACTCCCACCTAACAGGGGTTCAAGGTCCCCCAAAGACGGGCCAGGGAGGGTGACCCTACTTGACCTAAGGTAGGAGTGCCTCATTTAAAAATAAAAAGGGGTGAATTGTGGGGACACCAGACCTTGAGCAGAAACCCTCAAAAGAGGCTTTTGCCATTCATCACAGTCCATACCAATGTCCAAATGTTTTAAATGGGTCTTTTTTCCCCCAAAGGGAAAAGCTGGCAAAATGAATTCTGTTGTTTTAAGGTGTATCAAAGGCTAGCTGCTAATCTTCCAGTTTTGTTGGCTTTGGGATGAAAACTCACGGGTCCAGGAGGTTGGTGTAGCAAGCTTGATGAGACACTGGAAATCTCGTACTGACTGTTTTATTTCTTTCTTGGGCTGTAGATTTGATGACATCAAGGGTCAGGAACACCAACTTAGGAGATCTCGAACTGGCTTGAGCAGGCTCCCATGGTCTCAGGTCCAGTTTTCTCTGCTCCATGCATCTCACCAAATGTTGTGACAGTTACTGAAGCTTTATTCTTTTCCTGTAAGAAAACACAAACATGCCCTCGACCCTAAATTAGGGTCTTCTCTACTGTCTAGTGTATGGATGTTTTCATTTGACCTGAGCAATAGTTGTTTAACTTCCATTATGTCAGAATCTGTCTGAAGCAGATTCCTCACTGGCATTTACATTTTAAAAATTTTTAAATGAGGAGTGGATTATTTAATGAATCATGTGGGGACTGGGGACATTACTCCCCCTTTTATTTTTAAATTTTTTTTTGAACTGTTGAAGTTGGACCATAACAGTAGAAGGATTTGTCTACCCTCCTTAGTTAACTATCTAGGTGAATTGGGATCACTATTTAAATTATTAGTAGATGTCCTTTAAAAGGGACATAACCACATAACCATTAAGTACCTTTGAGAATCATTTAAGGATTGTAAACTATACTATGTCTCAAATAGTCCCTTTTTTTTTTAACCTGTAGCTCTCACTAGCTGACAAGGCCTCATTTGCATCTGAACTGACAAGGCCTAATTTGCATCTACACAGACACCTTTGGGGGTGGGGGCCTGCCAAAGTGACAGGACAGTTCCCTGAAAAAACCTCTCTTCTCTCTCTCTCTCTCTCTCTGACTGGCTCTGAGGGCTTAACTTGAATTTTTTGTTAAAATATTAACCGACTGACTGGATGTTTCTTTTGGCTATATCTAAATCGATTTAGGTAGTTTTTAACTGTTTGAAGGGATTTAAGTATCCCTTTAATCATATCCAAGGCAATTAGAACAGTTGCTTTTGTCAACATTCACACATTTACATTTCACACTTCATACATACTGACGTGGCCACGTCCATACACACAGACCATGCATACATATCTCTCCTTGCCTAGGTTATGATTAGTTTGTTGAACTGAAACTTCTTTAACAGAACAACTCCAGTCAATCTTTGAATTAAAACAAAAGGTTGAAAAAGTCCTGTATGTCCCTCGTCATTTCTTCATTAGAGAAGTTTTGAGCTACACTCAGGGGCTACAGCCATACCCACCCCTTGTAATTCTGTAGATGCAAAGTGGAAAGGCCAGGCTTTTGCCAAAAGTTTTTAGAGATGACTCACAAAATTTAATAACCTACCCTATATAAATGTAACCAAACATTTTTATTTTATATACCTTTGTCTTTTTCTTTACTGAATACTAATACCTCATTTATTAACTGTTACCAGTTTATTTAATTTACCCATCTTTAATCTATCTTTCCATTGAGGATGACCCTCCAATCTACCCTCCAACTGAGGGCAACTTCTTATCTTAGGTTCCCTTTCTTTTTTGACCTTTGTTAGGTGAGGGCCTAGACATTTAATCCAATCCACCCTTTAACTGAGGGTGATCTCTTAGGTTTCCTTTTTTTCCTGACCTTTGTCAGGCAAGGTCCTAAACATTTAATCCAATCCACCCTTCAACTGAGGGTGATCTCTTATAAGAGACCTCAAAGCCCGCCCCCACAGGGATACACTTCCTCCAGCAAGGCCACACCTACTCCAATAAGGCTGCACCTCCTAACGGTGCCATTCCCTATGAGCTTATGGAGGCCAATTATATCCAAACTACCAAAAAAGGTTTGTTTGGGGTTTACAGTTTCAGAGGTGTTGTGAGTCTATGAGCATCATGGTGGGAAGCATGGCGGCAGGCAGGCAGTCATGGTGCCGGAGCTGAGAACTCACTTCTCAACCCACAAACCTGAGACAGAGAAAGGGAGGAGGTGAGAGGGAGAGGCCGGAAATGACTTGAGTATTTGAAGCCTCAAAGCCCGCCCCCAGTGACACACCTCTTCCAGCAAGGCCACACGCCCTAATCCTTCCCAAACAATTTCGCCAACTAGGGACCAAAGTTTCAGATATATGGGCCTATAGGGAATCATTCTCATTTAAACCACTGCAAAGGGAAAGATTAAAAGTAGGCATTAAAAATAAATCACAGACCAGGGACATAACTCAGGGATCGAGGCTTGCCTTGTAAATGGGAGGTCCAAAGTTCAATTCCCAGCACCACAAAAAAGTATATCAAAATACATTGCATATATAGGAATAAATTATGTTATATTTCTTTTAATAGTAAAAAAATATCTGTGAGGTACAGGATGAGGGATGGGGCCGGGGGTAGACTCAAAATATTGGCCTAGAAAATACTCAGAAAGAATATCTTTTAAAAACTAAAGCAAATACAATATGTTTTATAATATATAAAAGCATAATATATTGTAAAATATATTATATATATTAAAAACAGATTTGCATTATAAGGAATGCTAAACAAAGCCCTTAAGGCAAAAGAAACAATAAAAGTTAATACAGAAATCTGGATCTATACAAATAAGCAAAG